CCGTTTGTGGTGGTAGTGGGGGGGGGGGAATCGGATTCTTATCAGGACGGTGGGTTTCGCAGATGAGTGCATTAACCGCCGCGCCACCGTTCCCCGCCACGCCACGCAAACCACCAGCTGTTGTCTCGTCACAAAAAAAGTAGGCTTCCATTGCTCTTAATCCATGAACAGCGACACCTTTCCTCAAAAAGGTTACGGCTTAATACATCTTGTTAAACTTAGACCTTTGGTTGATTTCGAATGCGTGTGTGCGCGCGCGCGCGCGCGTGCTTGCGTTTCTCCTTTTTCCCCACTTTATTGCCATCTGCCTCCATATATCGCTGCAGGGCAAAATTCGGCGCGCACACACAGAGAGAGAGAAAGAGAGCGAGGGGAGAAAAAAAAACTGCACAGAGCAGCTAAAGTTTTCAAAGAAAAGCTGCACCAGGGACAAAAGAAACGTCGAGGGAATAAAGAAAAAAAAATAGAGGAGCCCTCCCCTCTCCCTCTCTCCTCTCTCTCTCTCTCATGTGGCACGGTTTTACTTTAAAACGGCTCCGAGCACAAAGGAAAGATCACTCTCCTTCAATTTCCATCGAGCAGCCTTGTACAGTGTTGCAAAGGGGGTGGTGGTGGTGGTGGGGGGGGGGTAGAAAAAAACCCCACAATGTTTAGCAAAGGGGTTAACCCAACATCTTCCAGCATTCGTCAACATTCCTCGGAAACAATATTTTAACACACCGCGAAAAAAAAAACAACGCCACTGGCAAACTGCGATGTCTTTTCGACAGTGATTTAGAACACAACTCGCTGTCTTTTTTTGGATGCTGTGCAAATGTCTTATCAAGCCCCCTTTGCTCTCTCTCTCTCTCCAGCACCCCCCACCCCTCCACAACCACTCCCTCAATCTTTCCAGAGTATTAAGAGATGATCCCGCAGACAAATGCCGAAGGCGCGCACGCGCGCGCACGCACAGGCCCGACAATTTTAAAATCGAACAATGATTGTGTACCGAGGTAGAGTGTTTGTTTTCAATAGAACGGAAACAGTCGTGGAGTGTAGGAATTCCTTTTATCCGCGATACTATTACCCGCGACAGTTGTGCGGTCCACAAACAGTCCCACTAAATTCGCTGTCCCATTCTACCTGCTATCCGCAATCATCTGCGGATGTTCCCATTCGGCATTGTGGAACGGCTTCTTGTTATCCGCAAATGTTTTGCAGACAAGTGGAGTTCAACAGCAATTTCATCCTATTATCCGTGGATCTTGGACGGTCATATTCTTCTCAGCATGTACGTAGGGAAATAAATTTCCAACTCCTGTATATCTGCTAAATCCGGATAAGCGAAGTTAATCCGATTGTTCCAGATAAGTTGTGTAAAATTGTGGATATCTGAATGCATGATATTCGTCCTCCACACTTGCTAGCGAGGGTATTTATGACGATTACTCTTTTTTTTTACTCGTGGAAATGTGTTCCGATGCTTAAAATGAGCATGGGGCAGAAGATCGCCGATGGTGGGGCCCCCCGAGCCAGTGATGGACATTCCACATTTGGCAGAAGCCAGTCTTGACAAGGGACACCAAGTGGCAGGCGAGGGGGTTGAGAGACACCGCTTCAGATGACTTGCCCCCGACGTTAGCATTGACCGAGAATCAAACTCGGGTTTGTGTGGGTCATAACGCGACGCGTTGAGCGCCATGCAGCTGGTGTGTCGTAACCACTTCCTCGGTAAACGTGTTTTTTTTTTAGCAAATCACACAAAACGATGATTGGTTAAAGTCTACCCCTGACCGGTATTTGAACCTGCAACTTTCCAGCTGAGAGCCAAGTGCTTTAACCACAAGGGCCACCCAGCAGGATACGTCAGTCTGGGGTATCTTTTTTGTCATCATGGAAAGACATTTCTCTCCGTAAAAAAAGACACTGCTGTTTGTATATAGCTGTGTTAAAGCGGCTAAATAATATATTATTTCGTCACACACATGCTTCCAAAGGGTAGAAACATATGAACGAATTCAAACCAATTCTAGGTTCTTGCTTAGAAGCGAAATACATTCCTTTACCATGCACAAAAGCCAATGTATTTGATTGGGATCAAAATAATTACACAGCTCTCACTCAATCAAGCAAAAAAATGCCACGAATTGATTGTTCCCCCCTGCCTACCGATCATCACAATAAGCCAAATTAAATCTACGGCTCGCATGCGGCCTATAGACGCGGTGGTTTGTTTGGGGCCCGACGTGAACGCTTCTCAAATCTGTCACGAAATAAAATCGGAGACTACCCAAAAAAGCGCATCCCCATTGCGGCGCGGAACGTCGCATTAGCGGCGGTGGGCTGCGCTCGAGTCGCACATTGACAAGAAGCGGTTTAAGCATTGTGTCAGGAGGACATGCGTGCGTGCGTGCGTTTGTGTATCTGCCATTTACAAATGGCATGTGTGCCATTGTGAAATACTCGAAATGTTATCTCCACAAGGTCGCTTTCAAAAAGAGATGTCATTTTTTTTGTAGAATATAAAAAAAACTAAATCGAGGGATGGGTTTGAATGCAGGGCACGGGACATTTCCTTGCGTGCAGTTTAAAAATAAACACTTTTGTTTTCCAATCTTGACTCGCCACCAAAAAAAAGGAGCTCCCCGTCCCCCCTCCCGGACCACAGGGTCATCAAGTTGCCACTTGATTGAGCCTACACGTAATATAGCAGGTAATTAAAATGCGACAGGTTAATTACACACACAAAAAATAATTACAGATTTCTTACGCCGTCATTGACAGGAAGGGAAGGACTTTCAACATTTTTCGGATCACGTTTTTTGCGCACCTAAATTGTCCAAGTGTGCCGTTAAGTGAGCTACCGATTCAGGCTGGCACCGCATGCATCAGGGGTAAGGGGTATAGTAATCTCCACATTCACTGCAGCCACCATTGTCTCCCACACCCCACCCTTGCATACACAACGTTCGGGGGGTATTTATTCTAGGCCGAGTCAACCCGACCGAGACCCACAGAGGTCCAGTTACCAACTTCCCACCAATTAATGTGATGCCTCGCCATTGGGGAGTCTAACCCAGGGTCACTGGTGATTGTAGCGCAGCTTGTAAACCACTTTGCCACCACTCGCATATCCGCACAAAGACAAAGATCCCCAGTATAACCGCAACAGAATGGAGGAGCAAGTGGTGTTAGCGAGCACCTATGAAGGCCGGTACTGCACACCAGGGGGTGAGGTGGCCAGCACCACGCCAGGCAAAGACACCCCGTATAACCTTAACAGACTGTAGGCGCAATGTCTGTTAGCGAGCGCCTATGAAGGCCGGCACGGCACACGAGGGGGTGGGTGGCCACACCACCACGCCATGCACTTACACACACACACACTCGCTGCCAAACATAATAACAGTACAGCTCCAAGGACATTTATGAGAGGTCTGAGATTAGATGTCCCTTGTTAACATGTGTGCCTTTTGCTATTTAAGTTAATTAGCACTTGGGATGCTCCCAAGTGGGTTTGTGTGTTGGATTTTTTTTTTGTAACCACGCCTTTTGCTCGGTGCAATGTGTGCCTTTGCTCGCTCGCTAAAATTAGCCCAGAATGCTCGACTCGGGAGAGCTGTCGCAAGACGACTGAACAAGACGAACGGGGGGTGGGGGTGATACAAATTCCATGGCAAACAATACAGAGGAGGAGCGGGTGGGGGCAGCATCATTTTTACTGTCCCCACGCAAACGTTACCCGACCGCAAAAGAAAACATTGGCTGGCATTGACAGCTTTCCCAGTGTTTCCATTGAAATAATCCAATAAACGAATACACCAGAATCAACAATGCTATATATACTTACTAATAGCAGGAGCACACAGTATATATAATCCTTACCGTGGCATTTATTTGCGAGAGACGTTGTTGACTCAACAGGCTCGCTCACATGCTGCAGACAGTTCATCATCCGTCATGGTCAATCCACCGCTGGATGGATAAAGAACCTCCCCCCCACCCCCAAACCCACGCAATCTCTCACGACCATGCGATTGTATGTTATTATTAATAATGCCACCACGCACCCGAGCTGATTTCATCACGACGTCTCCACGGTGGATGTTCTCTTGGACGTGATCATTACCGGGCCATCATCATCATCATCTGTACTCATGACATGCCCTGTCGAGGCCCACTTAATTTTCTGAACATGGCTAAATTACACGTGTTCTTTAATTTAATTTAGACAGATATTGGCAATTATCGTCTTGCTTGTATGATGTTGTGAATTCACAAAGGTGCAATGTTGACCGAAATATACTGTACAGTACTGACTTGGTGCATTGACGTTGATTCTCCTGGACTGCATTAAACATATTCTTGGTTCTTTCGGTAAAGTCACGTAGAAGGGAAACAATAAAATAATACAAATATAAAACAAAAAAATTATCACGACATTTCGACTGCAACACAAGCAATCATCATCAGGTGTGAAAGCCACAGCAAGAAAATTTGAAAAAAGTGGTGGTTTTTTAACGTTAGCACCACAGATAGCGATTTTTTTTTGTTTCCCTTCTACGTGACTTTACCGAAAGAACCAAGAATATGAATCCCTGCAGTCACGAAAGATTTAAATAAAAATTGAACTGCATTATACATTTAAAACAAAATGTGCTCGTACATGCCAACAATGTATCATGGTTATAGGCACGTGTAGGAATGGTATGGCGGCATCTATTGTATAGTTTGATTATGTTGTGGGTCTTGAAAGCAGGTTTGCTGACATGTTAGTATTTTTTTACGTTATTTGTGTGGGCGCGCGCGCGTGTGGAATTTAGTTGGCCACAAGCGCCCAGTTTATATCCGCAAGCAACGTATATTTTTTTTAAGAGAATTGGCCAAATGTATATATATATATTTTTTAATGAGTTTTGAGAGTTCGGGTCCCGTATATATATATTTTTAAATCCCATCTCAAAATATGTAAATGATCGTGAGATGATGACGACGGTGAAGTGTTTGAAAGCACTTACCAATCCAGTCTTGGCAGTCTTCGAGTTGGACTGAGATTCATCGTCATTTCTCAAGTCCATCATCGAAACATCCACGCAGCTTTCCCGCAGAGACACCGTCTTATCCTCGGCCGAATCATCCAACAGAGCTCCATTGACACCGCTTCCACGATTAGAAGTATGCTGATGGTTGACATTGTCACCACCACTATCTCCACCACCGCTGCTGCCACCACCACCATCATTGTCATCGTCAATCGAACTATGTTGTCCACCAGCACTTAGGCTCTTCTTAGCTTTGTCTCGCTTGTTCGAGCTCCCAGATGCGCGACCTCCAACTCTTCCAAGTGTCTGTGGGCTGGATGGGACAGCGCTTTCACTCGTCGTGGTGGTGGTGGGACTGCTGCTGCTGCTGGTGGTGGTTGTGATCGTGGATGTGGGGGTGGTTGTTGAGACAGTTTCAGCCAGAGCGCCTTGCTCAGGAGACAGTGGTCGACAGTTCCTGGCCTTCGAGGTCTTGTTGTTTCGTTTATTCGCCTTCACACGCCCAGTCTTCTCAGAGGCGCTGCTGCTGCTGTTGTTATTGATCAACTTCATGTCTGTCGCTTGATCAGAGTCCTTATTGTCCACAATTACCGAGCCCACGCCGCTTCCTGCGTCCACGATATCCCCGCTGCACTCGCTCTCAGAGAAGCCCTTCGTTTTGTTCGTATGTTTTCTGTTGTGTCTATTCTTGCGATTATTCCCGGAAGGCGATATGCCGCTGCTGCTCGCAGTCTCCTGCTGCTGCTGCTCCTTCAGCTTCTGCTGACGATCCTTCTCCAAGTCAGCGTCGAGGTCAATGATCAGATCGCCCACTCCGATTTCCCAGTCATCTCCACTGTCGTAGTGTTCACTGGACATGCTTGTGCGACCGCAGATTGCAAGCCATGCGTCCAGCCGTCTCCCGTCCTCGTTTCTATCAGACCTTCACCACCACCACCGCCGCCGCCGCCGCGACCACCATCAACACCACCCACATCTAACCATCCCATAGACAATACCAGAGAGGTCCAATTCGAGAAAAATGATCCAGAATATGGAGACTTATCCCAGACTCGTATTACGATACCAACGATATCAATTATTTTAATTATACCGATGTCACTGCAGTGTGATATCAGCAATTGTTGCCATCATCAGCGTTGCAATCAAGATGATATTTCCAACATCCGAGTCTCCATCGTCGTTACCATCATCATTATCAGCTGCAGCAGCAGCAGTTAGCGGCCAGACACAATCACAAATCGTATCTCCCCCCCCCCCCCCCCATTTCGAGTAAACGCGCCACTCTGTTGTGTCTACATTCGCTCAATGCTATATAATACCGACATGGTGTGAATGTAATGTAATAGCAGGCAAGGCGCCACGAGCCACTTAACAATACACTAGTCTAACACACACGCGCGCGCGTATGAGAATACTACAATGGACAGCTCATGAAATTAATTACCCGGAATACAAAAAAAACGTATTCACCGTGCACAGTCTATAGCAGTAGTGAATATGCATCAAATATAGTACAGACTGGCTGACGATATTAGTTTCATGCTATCGTCTATTGATATCCACGAGCCGATGAGACAGCTGCCTTATATACATGCGGCTCGATTAATCTTGGTCCGTTTAAATGCCCTCTGTCATTATGTTTGCCGTAGGCAGCGGTAGTTAATAACCGAACGCAACGTGATAGAGAGATATTCTATAATGACCAGCAGATGACATGAGTTTGCCGTCTAACAACCGACATTCCGCGAACGCGCTCGCGTATCGCCCGATATATCGTGGCATGTCTCGGCTCCGTTTTAAATGCCTTGTGTCATTATTATTATTGCATTGCTGTTTGGGTGGAAACGCGCAGTGCGTGCGTGCGCGTGTGTGTGTGTGCGCGCGTGTGCGTTTTGTAAGCGCAACGATGGGCATTTAATGCAGGCAGTTCGACAGTGATATAGTTTAATCGCAACGAGTTGTGTTTGCGTGGCCTTTTATCCTTTGTGTGCGCCCGTGGCTACGTTAGCGCCGGGGAGACAAAGGCGGACGGGCGTGGTTATACGGACCACGCCGCTACAGCCATAGCCGAACCAGCACTTGCCCCAAAAGCGTGTGTGGGCTACACGGGGAATTTTTTTTATTTCGTGTTCGCGTCTTTGTGCGAGTGTGCGTGCGCGTCTTCTGTGCTTAAGCGTTATGTATATTTGAAAATGTACCTATATTTTTAGATGTATTACGTTTCTATGTGTGTGTATCCCCTACGTGTGCGGATGTCTAGATATACTGCACGCGTATTCCTGCATAGTTATTGTACACGTTTACGTGTGTGTGTATATATACACACACGTGTACACAGTGATGGTTGTAGCCGTACGGTATGCAGTATATACTCTCGTGCGGAAACCGCTCGTATCTATTACCATATATGTGCATTGTGTATGTATGTCTTTGTATATGCGAGTATACGCTTACCTTATGCGTACATCCGTCCGCGTTCATATACACACAAGACGAATCTATGGGCAGCACGGCACTGCCTCAACCTTCCGACTGCGCTAAGATCCACGTTCAGCCGAACAAGCTTCACTTTCGTCCCACCCACTCCGTCCCAGCACCCAACCCGGCACACACACACACCCATCCCTTATCCCTACAGCCACCCACCCCACCCATCCCCCATCACCACCAGCAGCCCCATCCCCTCCCCTCCCTCCCTCCTCCCCTGCCACCCCCCACCTTAGACAAACCCCTTTAAAAACCATAGCCCTGCTCCCACCATTACGATCCTCACTTACTCACTTCCCTGTTATCCACCACTTTATACAAATCCGTTTAAAAACCATAGCCCTGCTCCCACCATCACGATCCTCACTCACTCACTTCCCTGTTATCCCCACCTTATAATACAAAAAAAAACATAGCCTTGCTACCACCATCACTACCCTCACCTCACCAACTTCCCTGTTTTCCCCCAGTTTACACAAACCCTTTTCAAAACCACAGCCCTGCTCCCACCATCACGATCCTCACTCACTCACTTCCCTGTTATCCCCCACATTATTCAAATCCATTTAAAAACCATAGCCCTGCCCCCACCATCGCCACCATCACTATCCCCTACTCCCTCCCTTCCTCTGTTACCCCAAAGCTTACACAAACACCTTTAAACCAGCCGTGTTCCTTCTCGCACAATAACCACCACCACCACCATCCTCATTCACTCCCTCCCTCCCTCCCCGCCCGATACCCTCCAGCTTATTACAAACCCTTTAAAACACCCATAAGCGATGTTCCCAGTACTACCAAACACCAACCACGGAGTTTACGTAGCCTGTGGTGTGTCTGATGTTTATTCCATTGCACCACGATGGCATCTGTATATAGTTCACCTTTCTGAATTTAAAGGAAAAATGTGTTCAACGTTACATAAATCACTACTTTTACGGTACTGTTTGTTACCTGGCCTTCTGGCGTTTTGGGCCTATGGCTCAGCAACTATGGTTTAACAATAAACACAGTATGCATTGTACAGGATTATCCATTTATAGATATTTCACTAATGTCCAATGACCCTGAGTCAAGATGTCTGCGTTAACTTTGGTATCTTCTCTAATCCACGTGTTTTATTTCCCCTTTCCCTCTGCAATGTCAGACATTAACCTTTCCACGCGCTTCTTCACAGTTCACTGCTGCGATCTGTAAATTTGGAACTGTAAATTCACTCGGATTGGTGTCCATGTGGGAGAGAGAACGCACACTTCGTGATGATAATGGTTATGGTCTTTTTCGATCTTTGTTTACCCCCCCCCCCCCTCCCAATTGCAAAACAATTGACCCATCAGTGAATGCCAAACCAGATGGATTAATCACGTATGGGTTTTTAATTATTAAAAGGAAAAGCGTGTTAATCCTGTAGTACATTTCTTCTGAACTGTACACCAAATTTTCAATGTTAAGTGTCACTTCAGTTCCTTGTTTTTTTTTTTAAGGCGTGACAAAAATAGCTTTGCCGCACACACACACACGCACACAAAGATTCCCCGTACAGCGTGAACCGACGGTTGGGGCAAGTGCTGTTAGCGAGCACCTATTAAGGCCGTGCTATGAAACCGGCGACCCGAGTTCGGTTCCAGTGACGTTTATCTGATCCGTTCCTGGGCCTCCCCTAGGTCGACTCAGCCTCAGATGAGTACTTTGTGCGGTGCGTGGACATCACCACTAGGGAGACAAAGGCGGCCGGGCGTGGCTGCTGGCCACCCACCCCATCGCGTGGCGCTCCGGCCTCCATAGAATGTGCCTGCTAACAGCGGATGCCCCCCAACAGTCTGTTCAAGGCTATGACGGGAGATCATCTCCGTATATCTTGCCGTGACCTGCAGTGTTGGGTGGTTGAATGCAGTGTGGTGGGTGGACGAGACGGAACCGTCAGTCCGCTAGACCGCATCCTCAACCTTGGGGTGCAGGATGCAGGTGGGTGAAGTTCACGGTAATCGTAACCACAGACGAGCGATAAGCAGGTGACCCATCAGCGAGGAACTTGACTGGAGTGAATTACCGAGTGCCTGGATCGTCGTCAAATCAACAGAATTGCTTTCATGTTTGAATGCCACGTCAAGTACCTTCCAGCCGACGAAACATTTGGAATGGATTTTCTCTCTCGGGAAAAAGAATCCGTTTCAAAACAATTTAGCGTTTGAAAAAAGAAACACACAACAGGTCACAAATTACAACGGGAATGACCCCCCTCCCCAACCCCCCCCCCCCCCGCGCTGTGGACAGTTTGTCGGCGTCAGGTGCGGCGATTTTAGCAGCAGTTGGGGTACGAGGTGGAGTGGCCTCCACTCACTCGACGATGGCCTCCGAGGTCGTTACCCTAGGAAGCTCAAGAGCAGTTGGGGAGAAGCACGTGTGTGTGTGTCCCCACAGTCTCAGGCCGGTATCAGAATTGTCTCGATAACGTTGGCCAAGTATCAATGATTTCCTTGTGAGCGAGACGACGTGGAGGGTTAATGACCTGGATTTTGGCATAAAACTGCCATCACGTGGTCTAACCCCAAAACAAACTAATATGGAACCAGTATAGCGAGCTGGGTACATATGAACTGTATTGTTCATTGATATGTTTGTTATGTTACATCCTGCATCAACTGCTTTTGTTGATGAAATGGTGTGCTCATGCCTTAGTTACGCATGTGTATACGTGGTTTGTGTGTGTGTCTTTGCATTTCTGAGCTGGAATGTGTTGCATGGTGTTCTAATGGTCTTTAACTGTGTATACAATTGGATGTTGTTTGTCGAATACATGTGTAATGTGCGATGTATTACATACATCTGTACGTGTATTCCATTGTGTGTAGATATGGGTCTAAGTACGTGTCTGTATGGCCATATCTGTGTCTTTGTGTCCGCCTTTAAAATCTGTGTATAACATCAGTGGCATGTTATATCCTAATCAGGCCTGGGCCTCGTCTAGGTCACTTCGACCTTTCAATGAGTGCTTTACCTGGTGTTGTGTGCAAACATCAGCAGTAGGAAGACAAAGGTGGCCGAGTGTAGTTTTTGGCAACCACAAATCCTATAGTCACTTATTGCACCACCAATCCCAAATATGCACTCGTTCGCTGCACTTTCCTCACCAGCCTGTATTGGCAAAAAAAAGGCATGTCTATTTCGTTGATTTTTACTGTGTACGACATGGTGTGTATGTAAACTATGCGTGTGCCTATAACGTGTCCATGTAATTGATGTTTGCGAGTCTTAACTGTGTGTGTGTGTATCACACAATGTGAAGCGTCACTGTGTGTGAGTGTTACTCAGTCTCTGCTGCCAGGTCTGCCTTACAAAAAGATAATTATTCTCCAAGGACTCAATACAGACAGGTTGATTAAGTCAGTGTTTCCCTGTTTAAATAAAGCAACAAGGCTGCACTCATTTCCTTGCACCGGTGGTGGAAATTCCTCATTACTATGGCAGTCTATACACAAGACAACCACTAATGCCTTACCAAAATGTGATACTTATTTTAATTAACCTTAATTAGGAATTATGGACTTACTTGCATTGTGATCAGAATTTTAATCTACGACATTTTATGATCATGAGTCATGGTCATTGCCACATGATTGAGCAGAAAGTGTGAATAAGTAAGTGGTGAGCGGTACTGTAGCGGTGAGCGCCCTGCGCTACGAACCCGGCCACCCGAGTTCGATTCCCGCTCACGGCCAACACCGGTGAAGATCTGAACCGGTCCTGGGTATCACCTAGGTCGACTCAGCCTCAAATGAGTATCTGGTGCGGTGTGTAAACATAGCCACTGGGGAGACAAAGGCGGTCGGCAGTGGTGTTGGCCACACGCATACTCGTATACCGTGCCGGTCTTCATAGGTGCTCGCTAACAGAAACTTATCCCAGCAGTCTGTTACAGGGTATACACGGGGGGGGGGGGGGTCTTTGTTGCAGTGTAGTGGAGCGGTAGTGTAGTGATTAGCACTGCTAAGAATCCAGTGGCTCGAGTTCAATTACCGCTCACAGCCAACATTGGTGACGGATATCTGAACTCATCCTGCCCTATAAACGACTCAGCCTGAAAATGAGTAGTGTAACCTGGTGCCTTGTGGAAACACTCGCATTGTGTGGCGCTTGCCACCCATGCCCTCGTGTGCCAATGCTGGCCTTCATTAGGTGCTCGCCGACAGGACTTGCCCCAACAGTCTTTTCAGGCTTTAGGGGGGAGGGGGGTCTTTGTATGTCAATACGGTTAGAGGTGCTACAGTGAGGGCAAAAAGTATTTGATCCCCTGCTGATTTTGTACGTTTGCCCACTGACAAAGAAATGATCAGTCTATAATTTTAACGGTAGGTTTATTTGAACAGTGAGAGACAGAATAACAACAACAAAATCCAGAAAAACGCATGTCAAAAATGTTATAAATTGATTTGCATTTTAACGAGGGAAATAAGAATTTGACCCCTCTGCAAACCATGACTTAGTACTTGGTGGCAAAACCCTTGTTGGCAATCACAGAGGTCAGACGTTTCTTGTAGTTGGCCACCAGGTTTGCACACATCTCAGGAGGGATTTTGTCCCACTCCTCTTTGCAGATCTTCTCCAAATCATTAAGGTTTGGAGGCTGACGTTTGGCAACTCGAACCTTCAACTCCCTCCACAGATTTTCTATGGGATTAAGGTCTGGAGACTGGCTAGGCCACTCCAGTACCTTAATGTGCTTCTTCTTGAGCCACTCCTTTGTTGCCTTGGCCGTGTGTTTTGGGTCATTGTCATGCTGGAATACCCATCCACGACCCATTTTCAATGCCCTGGCTGAGGGAAGGAGGTTCTCACCCAAGATTTGATGGTGCATGGCCCCGTCCATCGTCCCTTTGATGCGGTGAAGTTGTCCTGTCCCCTTAGCAGAAAAACACCCCCAAAGCATAATGTTTCCACCTCCATGTTTGACGGTGGGGATGGTGATCTTGGGGTCATAAGCGGGATTCCTCCTCCTCCAAACACGCGAGTTGAGTTGATGCCAAAGAGCTCAATTTTGATCTCATCTGACCACAACACTTTCACCCAGTTGTCCTCTGAATTATTCAGATGTTCATTGGAAAACTTCAGACGGGCAT